GGATTTCGACGCCAACCTTGAGTTCACGGACGCGTTCAAGAGTTCACGGCCGTGAACTGAGGCTGTGAACTGAGCCCGATCCCTGTTTAAAGGGAGAGCAGAAAGGAAGAGAGAGAGAGAGCCCAAGAGTGAGAAAGTGTCTTCTTCTTCATATTTTAGAGAGAGAAGGAACGAACCAAAGAAGAAAGAAGGCTAGGGTTTGATCCAAGTGGTGAATTGGGAAGATTCTCCCCAAGACAAGATAAACACAAGCTCAAAGGAGATTGGAGGCATCACCATGATGGTATCTTCCTCTTCCTCTTGTGTTCTTCCCCTTTCTAGCATGGAGTAGTTTCCTTTTTCACTTGGGTGTTGTAAAACCCTAACTATTTACCATGTAGTTGTTATTTGGATTGAATGATTGTTTATGGGTGTTGTTTAATTCAATGATTGAGGTATTTTTTATGTTGATTGTGCATGTTTGTGCTTAGCAATCCAATTGGCCATTCTAACCTAGATTAGAGGGAAAACCCCCCTTTCAAGGGAGTCTCAATTGAGTTGCGATTCTTTGGGCTTTTTAAGTCACCAATCTAGGTTAATGTAGGGCAAACCTCTATGTTGAATTAAGCAATTTGGTTAAGCGCGATTAAGCCAAACAACCTTGGGTTGATTGAGAGAGTAAGTAAACCATCGATTTCCTTAACCAAGAGGGCTACTTTAGTAGCCTATAATGTATCCTTTGGTTTGGTAATAGAGAGTGTGGTCTACGACCATTGTTGCATTTCCTAGCGGTTCGCGGTCACCTTGCCCGTAGTAATTAATTCGATTCCACATGCCATGGTAGTAGTTAGGGGGAACGACACCAGAGTGATCCTTCTCACAAAGAGCTTTCAAAACCATTTACTTTTGTCTTGTTTTACTTTAATTAGCAAACTTTTCAACCAAAACTGATTTGCTAGATAATGTTTCAAACAATTGAAGTAGGGGTACACGGACCGGCCTGAGTCGATATTTAAACATACTTGACCTGTATTTCACCCTACTAAGGTTTATACTTGGACCTTAGGCGGGAATTAATTGTGATATTCATGACGAGTCAGTCGCTGAATGCCGATGCTGGGGCAGCGATGATGGCTCCATCGCAGCCATCCCCTTTCCAACAATTCCCGTAGTCTCCTCTGTCATTTGGGTTCTTGAATTCTCCGCAATCTCCTTATCCTCTCTTTTCTCCTGGCACGTGTCTTTCTCCTTCGACTTTCCCTCTTTCCCCCACCATGCCAGTGCATAGCCCAAGATGGTTGATTTCCCGAACACTTTCCCTCTCTCTCCCCCACCATGCCCTTTTCAAGTCCTAAATGGAGAGGAAGTGCATCATATGTTATCAACCTCCAGAGTCGTTGTTGCACGAGGGGGCATGGGAATTGAGCGGCTTTCCATGCTGCCATGCATTGTCAGCTATAGGATTGATGCGGCAAAATTTGGAAGACTATGTCGAATCGTGCTACTTAGTATCCACTGTTAGAAAGTGTTACACTAGTGGCATTCCACGTGTGATAGGATAGCAAGCTTGGCCTCAATCTAATGGGTGTCCTATTACCCACCGTTTTCAAAGCAATGTCGGGTTAACCAAAAAAGAAAAGGAGAAAAGAGGCAGGTGAACTAGAGGTGAGAATGAACAAGGATGGAGTCTATTTTGGTACATCATCCAGAAGAAGTGGAATGGTCATGCACTGCACCAACTATGAGGTTGGTGGCCATAATGCTAGGTGCTGCCACAACCTTCAAGTTGTTGTGTCCGATTAGAGGGCAGCAAGAGGGAGAGTGCAGCAAAGTGGAGGCTCAACAAGACCTAAGGTAAAACTAATTTTGGTTTGTTCATGTATTTGTTTGTTTGAATTTGGGCAGAGGGTTTTGCATCCTTAGCTTGTTTATGTATTTGTTTGTTTGAATTTTGATAGAGGGTTTTGCATTGTTCTGTATGCAAGTCCACGACCCATAATGCTAGGAGCTTCCTGGAGAAAGGTGAACAAGTTCAGCCTTTGCACATAAATCTGGTGGTTGATAGAGAAGTGAGAGATTCTCTAGATGGAGAAGCGGTATACTATCAACTTGAAGGTTTAGCTTGTACGTGTACAGTAGGAGTTGGCTCTCAGCCAACAGAAGTTGATGTCACTCAAGGACCTTCTACCCAACTAGCATTTCAACTATAGAATTGGTAGGATTAAGATGTAAATGGTAGACAACTTCAGTAGCCTAATGAGATTAGTAGGGTATGCGATGATCAAACTAAATGAGCTTTTGTGGTGACTTGTTTCACCCTCTTTTGTATTTTTGTAAAAAGCTCGAACCATTTGCAATTTAGGTATATAAATTCAGTTTAGTAGGGCATGAGATGATCAAACTGAATGAGCTTATGTGGTTACTTGTTTCACCCTCTTTTGTATTTTTTGTAAAAGCTCGAATAATCTTGTGTCCAAGTAGCATTTCAGGTATATAACTTTTCAGTTACTTATGTGAATAGTCAATTACACAATTAAATAACAGGGGTTACATTAGTTGGGAATGGTCACTTGTACGAATGGTACATAACAGTCTTCACACTAGTTGTGAAATGCAATAATAACGTTGACAACACACGTTCACACAGTACATCAAATTAACAACATTCACAATTTGCGACAAAAATCAAAGACACTAAAACCTACAAACTAGAGCAAAAGCTATGACACAAATTACACAAAACATCAAGTTCGTTATCCTACTCTCAAGGCTCGAAATCAAATTGCTCAATCTACTAAGCTCCGACATCATCTTTGCATTATCTTCTCTGGTTCTGTTCAACTCTTCTAACAACTTCCTATTCAGTTATTCCGATTCAATAAGTTTTGCTTTAAAGTCAACCTTGTCATCTTCGTTGGCATAATGAAATGATCCATTCCTGAGGTATAGTTGATATAGATCCACCAACAGAATGCTTGCACTTAAGATTTGGAATTTAGGTAAACAAACAACCAACAAAGTACCCAAATACAATACAGTCCAATAGGGACAACAATAAAACTGTCTTCCTGGATTCCTAAGGGTACCAGACTTGTTCACAATGGGAGGGAATTTATGCTCGCACAGAGTGCTAAATCGTGATTTGTGTTCGCCGAACTAGAAGAACCCTCCCTTGCAGAGCCCTCCCTTGAAAAGTTCTTCCTTGCACACATGATTTTTATTGCTATCAATGAAAACAGAGGAAACAATCCGCTCCATTCCATCATTCCAATCGGATTTTGCAACCCCGACAAACTGGTGAGGGGAAGGTTTAATACACATTACCTTTAGATGCCCAAGGGAAGAGACGAATGCGTCTAAGCTCAACGACGGCAGCGACAATGCTCAATTACGGAGGCGACAATGCTCAACTACGACGACAACGAGGGCAGAAATTGATTGTCACTGCGAGGGTATTTCCAGTAACATCCCTTTGTGGGTTTTAAAGAGTAGACGAGGAATTAAAAAATAAAAAATAAAAGCAAAAAATAATAAAAGACAAAATTTTAATGATATCAGACGTGGAAGCTGACGTGTTTGCTGAGTTGGACCACCGTTAACAAAGAATTAGTGGTGACGAAATTAATGCTAATATTTAGCAACGTTAATTAACGTTTTCCTAATAATTAGTATTATGATAGTTTTGGCTAATATTACAGAATCGGAATGGGTAAAATGTTTGGCTAAAAATAGTATTTATCCTAGTTAATTTTAAAGCAAGATTAGATTTAAATATTTTTAGTGACCAACCATGCAGTTAACCAGTGAACATATATTCAGATTTTACTCAATCTCTATTCGACGCTCTAAAATTCAAATTTTATCTCCATAAAACGCAACAAATTGACATATTTACCCTTATACCTAATTTCAGATCTAGAACCTAACCAAACAATCCCTAACCCCCACCCCACTCCACTCCAATTGAAATCTGCCACCGTCGATACTACGTCACTAAACTCTCGATATGTGCTGCTACCTCAGTCCGCCGCACATGCGGAGATCCTCTAGGGAGAGACGTATTGGTGATGAGAGCAAGGAAGTGGTGGTGGATTCTCGTTTTGATTAGAGGGTTTATTAACTTCGGGTTTAGCTCTCTCTCGGCCAAGTTGCAAGAAGGTGGAAGGGAATAAATCCCTCTCTTGATTGCCTGTAGGTAGTTAGGTTAACGTTTTCCGGGTGTGACAGATTGTTTGGTTCTTTTTCGTTGAATGATTGGTTTTCTTCTCCTTTGACGTTGGTTCTTTGATTGTATTTTGAATTTTGTTATTTGGTGTATATTTGATTTTAATTTGGTGCTTGAAAGACAAATAAATGAACTAAGAGCATTGAAGTAAATAATTTAGGGCGACGAATAGCAATGTCCAAATTTTAACCTCTTAAACTTGGAATATATTACCGCCTTTGATTATAAGTTTATAACTGATTTCATTCCTTTAGTAATACATAGCCCTGAATGGTAAACTTAACTCACAGTGATTTTCTTAGGGTTCTCTTCTTCCTTCCTTTCTTGCTAGTATCACCTGCTCACTTAATTCTCCACGTAGCAATAATTTATTAAAAACATAATAAATGACAAATTAACATTACACGGAGCTGGCGCGTACTGAAGACACCTTAATAGTTAATATGAATAGGGGGGAAAAAAGGAAACAGTCGAAAGGCGCATTGGTGCGCATCTCCCAACTCGGTAAAACATGTATTAATATTAGCCCCAATCAATAACTTGATATTCCCAGGTGCCAACACTTACTTCTCCCTAGGCAGATGATATGTAAATGGTATCCTCATCATTAACGCAAACAATTTCAATTGATTAAGTAATCCTGCAATGATTCTAAGAGCTAGCACAGTGATTTCGTTTCGTGATAAATACAAACATATATATATATATATATACCAAGCAAGCGATGAATCACACATCCGGTCCACATATAATATAATAGTGAGGCTATCGATCGACGGCTTCTTCTTGTTCCACGATGGGGAATCTGTTGGCAGTGTTGTGCATTTCCATTTCACTGCTGATCACAGCATTCCCTGCTTCTACTGTGAGCAGCAGCTCCCACCTCCTAAACTTGAGAGCTGCATTGAAGTCGGCAATCCACCAAACGGATGCCGCCTTGTCCAAGTTGACCACAGATTCGTCGTGCCGTTATTTGCTCGACTTGACACTGTCGGACCTGAGATGGTGCCTTGCAGCCTTACAAGACTTGGCCTCCGGTGATGAAGGGCACGCGAGCGACTTAAGAACGCGGCTGAGCGCTGCATTGACCAATCAAAACATCTGCCAAGAAGAGTTACCAGGGCCGTACGCGAACGGCACCGAGGAATTGGTGGCAGCAAGGAGATATCTGGGTGGAGCCGAGTTGCTGACGCATGGGCTTGTATCAATGGCGAGCCGCCTACAGCCAGCCAAACTGACCAAGTTAGCAGCTGGAGGGAACCCTTTTGCGGCATGCAACGTGACAGTGGCTCAAGATGGGTCGGGAGATTTCCGGAGCATCGCCGACGCGCTGTCGTCTGCCCCGGACGGTAACACTGCCCTTCATTACGTCATCCATGTTAAGCAAGGAACATATCACGAGTACCTCAAGGTTGACTATAGGAAGCACAACGTCGTTTTGGTCGGCGAAGGGATGGGCCGGACAATCATCACCGGCGATCGTAGCAATTCCTCCGGATACAGCACTTTCAATTCCGCAACACTAGGTGCGTGCGTGCGTGTGTGCGTATTCAGTTCCGTATATTGATTTATTAGTTTATTACCTGGAAAGTTGACTTCTATCTTTCTTCATTAATTTCTATCTAATAGAAACCACAAATTCCATTCTAGCACTTATCTTTTTTTGAATCTTCGTCATTATTTGGCCACTAAATAGCTTACTAGTTTTAGTCTAATTAACATTAGACGTTACAATGCTACAATACCATTGACAGCTCAACATATGTTACCGTAATTAATTATAATACTGATAGAGTAAGTAGTAAAATTAAAATCCAAATATCCCTTTTCAGATATGTTTTTTTCGAAATTTAATTTGCATTTAGGGCTGGAGAGTAAATTCTTTTTACTTTGTGCATGCATAGTAGGGGTGGGCATTGGGTGGGTCGGGTGGATTTTGACCATAAAATGCACCCACCCGCGCTTAAACGGATTGATAATTTTTAACCCACCACCCACCCACATTTAGTCTTGGGTTGGGTCGGGCGGATGGTGGATGATGCGGGTGGGTTTGTGGGTTCACTCACATCACAATGTATATAATATAAAGGAGTCAACTTGACATGATAATAGGTGAAGATAATCATCGAGGGAAACAAGTAGTTGAAATAGGGCGAAAAATGCCGAATTAGTTTTTAAATTGGATAGAAATTCTATTATGAAAGAGTTTTCTACAGATTGAGATGATTATTAGGTGCAAAGAACTAAGGAAAATAATTCCACAGAGGAAAGAGCGGTGATCTAGGCACAAGAATTAGAGTAAAAAGTAAAGGGAAGAAGAGGGGATCTCTATTTGGAAGGTTGGCTTTGAGGTTCAAACTCCAGGAGCAGTCCGAGTTTATATCTAACGTCTCCACTCTCCTCTCTCTAGCGCCAACGACTTTGATCTTTTTGCTGTTGGGTTGAGTTGGTCACCCGCACACTCACCCACAACCCACCCACCACCCGGCGGATGGCTCCCAGCGCAACCCGTCACCCACCCACAAACCCACCCACTTAACGAAATTCGGGTCAAATACGGGTGGGTCGGCCCAAATCCGCGGATGATCCGCCCGCATGCCCAGCCCTAATGCATAGGATGATAATTGCTCCATACATTCACATATACCATCCTATATATATGAATATGAGTGAAATTTCTTGACAGAGCACACACCAAAAATTTTCTACAGATATAAATGAAAAAAATCCAACTTTTTTTAGGTTTTCTATTAATTGAAGGCAGAACTTTTACAATAATTGTTTATTTTTTTTATCTTTAAAGAGGCTATATATAGACCCATAAAAACTGAATTAGCACAAATATAGCAAATTAAGACCTCGTATGATATCGTTTTGTTGCTGCATGTTGTGTTTGTTGTGGCAACCAAGGTATAATATCTTTTATGACAAGCGTACTTTTCTATGCAATACCATTAAGTTCATCGATTAAGAACCCATCTTTCTTTTTAGATAATTTTATCAGTGATTTTTGGAATCAAGTTATTATGTTCGTTATTTTAAAAACATTATTATTAGTAGTAGTAGTGTCATTCGTTTTTGACACCGAATGAGACATAGACTGTCCTTTTCCATTCTTCCAAATAACGAGCTGCATGTACGTACATGGTATTGGTTTCCCATGCAGCGGTGGACGGTCCAGGGTTCATAGCAATCGGCCTAACCATCGAGAACACAGCGGGGGCCTCAGCGGGGCAGGCCGTAGCAATCCGGGCCGGGTCGGACTTCTCGGCGTTCTACCGATGCGAGATCAAAGGCAACCAAGACACGCTGTTCGCCCTCAGCAAGCGGCAGTTCTACAGGGAGTGCCGGATCAGCGGGACCGTGGACTTCATCTTCGGCAACGCGGCTGCGGTGTTTCAGAGATGCGACATCGTGTCGAGGCGGCGGGCCGTGGGCAACGTGATCGCGGCGAGCAGCCGGTTGAACCGGGACGAGCCGACCGGGTTCGCGTTCCACCGCTGCAGCGTGTGGGGGGAGCCCGGGGCGCCGGTGACGTACCTGGGGCGGCCGTGGAAGCAGTACGCGAGGACGGTGTTTGTGGAGACGAGGCTGGGACACGTGGTGGCGGCGGAAGGGTGGTCCGGGTGGAACAACCGCTACCTGGAGACGGTGTACTATGCGGAGTACAGGGATAGAGGACCCGGGGCGCAGCCGTGGAGGAGAGTCAAGTGGGGTGGGGTTCATGCGCTTACGGACCCCAATGAGGCGGCGGAGTTCTTGCCGACCAAGTTCATTCAGGGAGATAGGTGGATCCCGGCTACTGGTATTCCATACGACGATCGTTTGTAAGGCTACATTGTATTACAATTTACATGGGTCAAAATTTATATTACAAGCGGTTTGGTCGGTATTATATTAGTAATTCTTGGTCGTCTTGATTATTGTACTAAGTATTTTGTTCCGCGCTTTGCAGCAGTGAGAAGTAAATTATATTTGAAATTTTATTAACTTATTTACTAACTTAGTTGAAATTAAATAATTTACAAAACTATTCTTGTAAGATATTTCTATTAACTTTACGTAGTATCTGAATTATTACGAATATTTTTTGCCCGTCCTTCACAGCAGTGAGAATTTCATTATGTTTAAAATTTCATTAGCTTATTTGGTGAGCTAGTTGAAAGAAAATAATTTACAAAATTATTACAAAAGACATATGCCATACATTTATTTAAGTGATACTTAAGAAATAATTATTACTTTATAAGGTTTACACAACTTACAGATTTTTGTTATTGATTCATAAGAAATAATTATATTTCAGTAAGCTTTACATTGTGTTTTAATCATTTGAGAAAACATATGTAATACATTTTTTTACTTGATACATAAGAAACAAACATAAGTTTTACCTAATGTATTTTTAATTTATGTAACTATCATAAAACTTTGTTACATAATCCTTCCATAATATGTAAAAATAACTTTCATTAGACTATTTAGTGATTTAGTTTAAACCCATAATTTAAAAAATTATTAGGCTATGATACTTCCATTAACTTTACGTTTTGTCTGAATCATTACGAAATACATACGTCATAAGTTTGTTTATGTGATACATAAGAGATAATTATCACTCCGTAGGTTTTACACAACTTAGAGATGAATCCAATTATTACAGCCTGAATGAACTTATTTCTGTAGATAAATTACCTTGATCCTCAATCAGATTAGCCACTCTTCTCTTCTTATTTGCTTTTGAGATGTACCAATATATTCTTCAGAGCAACAACAAACCAAAAAGAATCGATCAGTTGAATCCATAACCTAGTTGGAGCTGAGAGAGACAGAGATAGAGAGAGCGAACAAGATAATCGTTTCCGTCGGAGGACATGAGGAAGGATGAAGAGGCAATGGATTGACGGGGATGACGGTCATCAGATGCCGGTGATGATATCAGGATGGGAAAGAGAAGAAGATGATCTAGTTGACTTATATAGTGGTTCTCTGATCTCTCTCTCTCTCTCTCTCTCTTTGATGTTCCGATCTTGTTTTGTATCAGTTCTCGGCTATTGAAAGTAGTGAAGAGATGAATTGATGGAAGCAATAGAGATAAGGAGGAAGATCTGCAGATGGAGTGATTCAGAAAGAGAAGAGAAGAACAAGGAAGGCAGAAGTAGGAGAAGAATAGAGACAGAGCAGAGGAAGGAAGCAAATTATGTTTACTGTGTTCGATATTCAGTTCAATACAGGAGGGCCCTATTTATACTTGTTACTCAATTACATTCCAATCCCTATTCTTAACGAGTTTGCATCACATTCCCGTTTGTTTCAACTACCCTCCCCATCAATTCATTTGGTGGATCTTCTAGTAGGGATGGCAGTGGGCACAAATAAAGCGGGCATCGCCCGCACCCGCCCGGAGCAAACCCACGATCAAACCCGCAATTGGAGGATAACGGTCGGGGACGGGGAAACCCGGAATATGCAAGGAAGCGGGGATGGGTCGGGGTTGGATATCACACTATCCGCCCCGACCCCGTCCGAAATAGCATACGCCGTCGTTTCAACATCCACGAGAGAGGGGATGGATAATGGATTTCTTCGACCTTCGAATGCAGCCAGCACTAGCGGCACGCACCACTTTCCCCATTCCCCAAACTTCCATCTTAGAAATCGCTGCTCTCAATAAATTTTTTCTCCGATTTTCCAGACTCCATCATCCAATCTGCCATCTTAATCACGCTTTATTCGGTGAGCCCTTCAATCTTTCTGTCGATTTTCTCCGATTCTTCTATTCTTCCTACCAATCTCTAGTCTTCTAGCCCCGATTACACCTCACAACCATCATCAATACAATCGAATCTCTCCATCAAATCTCTTCACAGCCGTCAAATTAGTCAATCTGCTCAATTAGAAGAAGAAATCTTCGATTTTCCCCTTTATGATGGCTTTGGGAGAATCAAAGTTGATGATTCTGTCCTTGCCTAGCCTCACGCCACTTAACCCTAAGTTAGCCTATAAATTTTTCCTTCAACGAAACTGGAGAGCACGCTACCTTCACAATTCCGTTCATACATTCCTAGAGCTTTCTTCATCCGCAGACAGACTGCAGTTCCCTTGAGCTTGAGAGCAGGCTTCTTCAAACTTCAAGACTTGTGAGTTTTCTCTATTTTGTTTTTCCCAACTTAGCTTGCTAGTTTTCTGTGTAATATGACTAATTTTGTTCTTATGTGTTGTCCAAATATGTATTAGGAACCATGGAAAGCAATCAAAATGCCCCTGGAGCTTCTGCAAATGCTGCTGTTCAACCAAATGGTGTTGCCCATCAGTCTGTTAATGCACATCTAGTTGATCCGGCGCCTCAGGTTGCTGCTGGTGGAGCTCCTGCACCTCAAGTTGCTCACAATGCAACTCAGGATGTTGTCATGAATGACCCAGCTGGTAATGGTGATGAGGTAATTGATTGCAGCAGGTTAAAATCTGTAGTGTGGAATCACTTCACTAGGATCAAAGTAAAAGATGAGATTAAGGCTAAATGCAAACATTGTCGAAAACTATTATGTAGAGAATCCAAAGATGGTACTTCGCATTTGAAGAGTCATATGCGAACTTGTTTGCAAAAAAGAATTGGAGATCGAACTCAGAAAGTTCTTTGTGCTAACTATGCTCCAATTGGAAGGAAGGACCTGGTAGTTAGTGCATATAATGCTGATGTCTGTAGGAGGGAACTTGCTGCTGCTATCTTGATGCACTATTATCCACTCTCAATGGTGGATCACTTGTATTTCAAGAGGTTTATTTGTTCTCTACAAACTCTCTTTACGGTTCCATCTCGCAATAGCATTAAGAAAGATATTTTGAAGCTTTATCAGTCTGAACGTAGTAGGGTTCAGAAGGTTATTGATGAGAATAAGGGAAGAGTGGCACTCACTACTGATATGTGGACTGCCACAAACCAAAAGAAGGGTTATATGGTTGTAACTACACACTACATTGACAATTCTTGGAAGTTAAGAAGCCATATGTTAAGGTATTTTTGTAGTTTGTTTTGTATATAAGTTCTTCAATCTGGACACTGTATTGTGATATAGCTCTAATATAATATTGCTGCCTTGTTGTAGGTTTATGTATGTCCCTGCACCACATACAAGTGAGAGGTTAGCCACAATCATGATCGAGTGTATGATGGATTGGAATGTCGATTCAAAGGTATCGACTATTACTCTTGATAATTGCAGTACCAATGACTCGATGATTGAAAAAATTAAGCAAAAACTTATGCTTAATTACTTGATGTTGGATGGTTCAATGTTGCATATGAGGTGCTCTGCTCACATCTTGAACTTAATCGTCAAAGATGGTTTATCAATTTTGAAAGATGGGATAGAAAGGATTAGAGAATCTGTTGTGTATTGGTCTGCAACACCAAAGAGAAAAGAGTTCTTTGATGAAACTGCTAAGCAATTAAGGGTCGGTTTTGACAAACAGTTGGTGCTTGACTGTCCAACTAGATGGAATTCAACATTTCACATGCTTGCTACAGCTTTTCCTTATAAAGATGTCTTCTCTCGTCTTAAACAAAGGGATTCTCAGTATACTTGCTTGCCTACTCCTGCTGATTGGCAATTTGCAACTATTGTGTGTTCAAAGCTGGAAATCTTTAGTGTGATTTCTGAATTGTTTTCTGGAACACAATATCCTACTGCCAATCTGTTCTTCCCTCGAGTTTGTGACTTGAAGTTGAAACTGAGTGAATGGCTTCTTGATCCTGATTTTGTCATCCAACAAATGGCTGCTTCAATGTGGTTGAAATTTAAGAAGTATTGGGAAGATATTCATGAATTGTTGGCTGTTGCAATTGTAATTGATCCAAGGTACAAGCTAGAGATCATTACTTATTATGCTGCTAAGTTTGGTAGTTGTGATGTTGAATGCTCATTGGATTGTGACAAGATTAAGAGAATCTTGGTTGACTTGCTTCATGAGTACAAAACAAGGAAGGAGATGGATTCACCTAGTGTTGGAACTGTTAACCTGGAAGCTTCTCAATCTGGAATTGACTTGGATTTTGAATTGTATGTGAGCCAAAGAAAAAAATCCAAAACAGTTGCATACCAAACTGAGTTGGATAGGTACTTGGGCGAGGATGTGATTCCTCTTTTTGTCGATTTTGATATATTGACTTGGTGGAGACAAAATGGCATAAAATATCCTGTGTTGCAAGAAATTGCAAGACATATTCTGGCTGTTCCTGTAACTTCAGTGGCATCTGAAAGTGCCTTCAGTTCTGGTGGGCGTCTTTTAGACCCTCATCGTAGTAGCTTACTGCCTTCTACTGTCGAGGCAATGATGTGTGCAAGGAGTTGGATGCAAGCTGAGGTGAACAAAGGTAAAAAAATCTCCTTCAAAGTGTAAAATCTGTTTCATATGCATAGAGCAGTGTCTATACTATCTAATTCCTTCATTTGTGTTTCAGATAATGTTGATTCTGTTACTGCTCTGGAAGGGTGTTTCACTATGTTGAATCTGGGTGGAGATGAGACTGAAAATGACTTGGCAGGTAATGGACTTTTCTGTTACTACTTGATAATTATTTGGTTTTGTTTCAATTCAATAATAATCTGATTTTGCTTTTAATCTGTTGTAGAAGATACAAATGGGAGGTCTATGTATCTTGATGGAGTTCTTGACCATTAGGATTGACGCTGGGTTGCTGTTGGTGTTGCTGGGTTGCTGAGATGCTGCTGCTGGGTTCATGATGATTAAGGTTGTGTTTGTGGTGGTGCTGTGTTGCTGTTTTCTATTTTGTGATACTGCTGCTGGGTTGCTGGGATTTTGCTGCTGGTTTTTAATGTAATGTTGCTGCTGTTTTCTATTTTGTGCTTTCTTAAGGCTGTGTTCTTGATGATGATCACGGATTTTGCCATTAAGTTTGAACAATGTCAGTTTGTTAGTTTGCTGGTTAGTAGTTTGAGTTTGAACAATGCCAACATATTAGTTTCAATGAAATTCAGTATGTTTCCTTTCAATTACATTTGATTCTAGCTTACAATTTTTGCTGTTTGAATTGTTATTTAAGCGAAGCGGGTAAAACCCGTCAAACCGGGGAATATCCAAACCCGCATGGATACGGGGATGGATAGAAATTTAGTATCCAAATCCCATTCAGGACGGGGACGGGTAAAACCCGTTTGTGGCTGCGGGCGGGGATTGGGTAGCTACTATCCGGCCCCATACCCACCCGTTGCCATGCCTATCTTCTAGGTTGACTTTTGATAGTAATGTATGATCTCTTAACATCAATTCATTTGGTGGATCTTCTAGGTTGACTTTTGAGTTGATTAAAGATAAATAACTATACTTTTTGGTGGTTAGTTTCCAGTAAACAAAGGCTATTCTGATTAGTGTTAACATAAGGAATAGCTTCAATCATACCACTTTTACACAAAATTTATATGCAAGACCAGAGATCATTGCCAAATTGAACTATTCAAGCTATAATGCTGATCTTCAACAGATAAAACATAGTTTCTTTTGAGTGAAATAACCTCATGATTGCAGATAAGTTTTTATAATATGATGTTTTATGATAGTGGTCACTTGCTTCCAGATTTAAAAGTGGGGTTCTAATTACTACAATCTACACATAATATAATAGTAGGAAGGAAAAAAACCATTCTCCCATTTCAAATTTCCTGCTCCAGGAGCGTTTGCAGGAGGGTATAATAGGGAGTATCAATTTTTTTTATCTTTCCTCTATGGAACGGACCAACTTACCGTACACATGCGGATTTGAACGAGCCCATGAATTGTTGCTGTCCACAAAAACAGAACAGGTTTCCGCCACGGCCGCATCTGTTTCATGTTTCCATAGCGATCACCATAACCGAGTCTTGGATTGTTCTGATGCTGGATCTGAACTCCACCCATGCCGGGAATAAATGAAATAATTCGAGAAAGTGAGCTTCATAATTGTTGTCAAAATAATTTCCCCACTCCTTCTTCCGTGTGCTAATCGCCTAATCCCTTCCCTATTAAAAGAAATCCAAGCATACTAAAATGATCCAGTCATGCAGATGAAGAAGGGTGGTAAATTGCATGCAAGTAAAATTTAAAGATTGAGTCATCTAATCAAATCGTAATCAACCACCTATTTTTCCATCATTTGCAAGCTTTAACAGATAAGTGACAAAAAAATCCACAAAATCGCTTCACTGTAACAATACAATATTATTGAAGATTGGTGGCTTTCTCTTCTTCTTCTTCTTCTTCTTCTTTAAACTAGCATCGAAGATATACAAAAAGGGGTTTAAACAAGTGATAAGAGAAGGGAAGATTAAGAAATGAAAAACAAAGACCGAGAGGGGGAGTTGAAATTGAGGTTCGGGGGGAGGATGACATGCAGGGAAAAGGTTTGCATAGCTAAAATTAACGGCAGGAAAACAGGGATGGGGAGAAGTGGCTACCGACGACGATATAATTGAGATCGAGAGAGAGAAGTGAACCATGAGCCGGTGAGCACTGAGCAGTTTTTTTAGGGGATATAGGATTTTCTTTAAACCCTTTTATTTCTCAAGGTTGGTAAGATATATATGAAAAGGAAAAAAACAATACTCCTTTTTTATTGCTAAAAAGAAAAAATTTAACAATAAACTAACGCATGGATTCTAATGGGCTAACCGCTAACCATAGAATAAAAGAGTTGAATGGGCTTGACCCATACGAGATTTGACCATGAAGTAAAACAAATGAACATCATAGGTTTGTCATCCTAAAACATGCTATTTTCTCTGGCATAACATATATTATGGTATTATTTTATATCTTAGTGACTAAAATATAATATATTTTAAAGTTATTAAATGGTTCTCCCTCGATCAGCCAGATTAGTCCAATTTTTATAATTTCAAATAAATATTATGTAATTATTTGATATTCTAATGATTAAATTATAGTGTATTTTATAGGCGATTTTTTATTCGATTTTCTGGAATTCGATTTCTAACAAACTTACACCATCTCATCATATTACCAGAAATAATACTGTTTCACAAGGTAATAGGTACTCGAACTTGGTTCATAAGGCTGATTTTTGGATTCGTTACATCATCCATGCCTCTTTCCTGCTAAAATTTTCTATTTTTATCACATGTTTCCCAAAAAAAATTATATAACAATAAGCTATACACTCCATTACATTCTAAAATTTCATAACTCACATTCTTCTTGGCCGGGACCACGCTAGTTTTCTAATAGCTGCAGTTACATATGAGTAGCAAAAGGTTGGTTTTTTTCTTCCGGATTGGAAAGCCAACAAGGGGTTTGTCCTGGTGCGCCGTTTCTGGTCACTCGTGAGTTAGAGTTTGCATGTAAGGACAAAGACGGACAGCGAGAGAAAGTTAGGTAAGAAGAGGAAAGCATGCAAGTAGGCAGAAAATGGAGATTATTGAGAATTGAAGGGACACGTTCTGTCTGTCTGTGACTGTGATTCAGCTCTTTCTCGTTGTCCCGTGTCTGCTGCTGCTGCTGCTGCGGCGCAGTATGGTATGGTAAACCACTAACCCCTATATATGTATTGCGATAATATTAATACTCCGAAAAACGGCCACCGTCCCTACAAGATTCTGCATTGCTCGTTCTATATTTAATATCAAATAATATAATGACTGACAAAAGTTTACAAAATTCCATTTGTACTGTTTCCCAAAACCCATAACACACATGCACTTGCTCTGATTTTCAACAGTATCATCTAATCAATCTCCTCAATCACATTGACATTTCCAATGTCACTTTTAGCAAGCCGGTGCCCGGAAAAGAAAACCTTTTTTAGAGCACCCTTCCTCCGCTACGCTACTGCAGCTCCCTCTTAAGCAGAAAGCTCTTCTCTTGTCTTGTCTCTGCATCCGAAGAAGCTATTCAACAGTATCATTTCCATGGCTCCACCACCACCAAAACCCCTTCTTAGCATTCTAATTTTGTTCGTCCTCCCACTCTTGTCCACCTCCATTGAAACCACTTCCCCTCCTTCTCCCGCGAATAATACTACCAACCTCTCTTCACTCTGCAGCAGGACGCCATACCCAGAAACATGCCTCCACTCGCTCAAGCTATCCATTTCCATAAACATCAACCCCAACAACATCATCGCCATCCTCCTCCGCACCCTCGATTCCGCCATCTCCGACGCCCAGAGGCTCACCCCTCTCCTCCTCCGAACAGCCCCCGACATCCTCGAGAAACAGAGAGGAACGATGCAGGACTGCAGAGACCTCCACCAGATCACCATCTCCGCCCTCCACAGATCAGCTTCCAAGCTTCGCGCCAACAGCGACTACAGGAAGCTCGCCGACGCCAGAGCTTACATCAGCGCGGCCCTCACCAACAAGAACACGTGCCTCGAAGGCCTGGACTCTGCCTCCGGACCCTCCATGACCGCGCTGACCGATTCCATCGAGTCCGCTTACCGCCACGTCAGCAACTCCCTATCCTTGCTCCCCCGCAAGCCTCCTCCTCCTCGTAAGACGACGGTGCGGGGGCGGGGGCTGTTGGAGTGGTTGCCGCCGCGGTGGATGTCGAGGAGTGCTCGCCGGGTTCTGCTGCAGAGCGATGACGACGGCGGCGAGGAGGGCGGCGACGGAATGATTTTGACGGTGGCGGTGGACGGGAGCGGGAATTTCACGAGCATAAGGGAGGCCATCGAGTTTTCTCCCGACAACAGCGAGTACAGGACGATTGTGGTGGTGAGGGCAGGGGTTTACGCGGAGAATGTGGAGATCCCGCGCAACAAGCCCAACATCGTCCTCATTGGCGACGGCGCTGACGTCACTATCATCACCGGCAACAGGAGCGTCGGGGATGGTTGGACTACTTTCAGATCTGCCACTCTCGGTCGGTAACCTTACTCATTCATTCATCTTCTTCACCATACAATGCAACGTAACTAACCAATTGCTTTCAATTCCGCAAAGTTAGTTTCCCCAGTCACGGATTAGCTAGTGTTCCTATAAAAGCTGTCTTCAGATGATCAATGATGAATGTTATTCTTATTTTCCCAGTCACAGTATTAACATAATTAGATCTACTAATTTATTTATTTATAATAACATACATTATCCTTCCCGAAGGGAATATTATTTTACTATTGTTTTTTTTTTTCGTTGAATATTATTTTACTATTGTCATTGAGCGTTTTGCATTTGTTTTTCAAATTAAATTTCCAACTTGTGAGGCCTACGCCTCCCTCATATCTATTTATGCAAACTTTAGATATCGTCATTAAATTTTGGTTACTCAATCATGCATAATATTTTTATTGAAATTTAACCAACTTTATTTTATTCTTTTTTTTTTTTATCAAAAGATAGCTTGTATTACCAAGAAGAAAAAGATCACAAACGATTACAACCCCACGTGGAGCCAAGCGCAAAAATCAAACCCCCCAATAAGAGCAGGAAACTTTATTTTATTCAATCTAGTACGGATTTTAAATTTTCTTACACAAAAAACATATTTTTTTATATATTACAAAATGAAATTCAGTTTTTTTATATATATTTGTGAACAAATATTATAGAGTGGCAGCTAGTAGGAATTATATATTCCATTAAACACACTAATCTATACAGTTAATTGAAGCAATGGATGACCATGAACAAACAGATACAACACCCGTGTATAGAAGACAGGAGAAATCATAGACCATATTTTGTAAACCATAATATATAGCATAAGGTTTGTAGCGTCACACAATGGGTTAACATATATACAGTAATTAGACCTTAAGCCGAAACAAATTTGAGTCAATTCTAAATTAAATTCCACCTAGCTAATATGATAGATAGATAGATGCGGAGGCATTAATTGTGAAACTGAGTGACCAAAAGAAAGAAGTTGCTCGTACGCTTGCTTGCAGCGGTGTCGGGCGACGGATTTCTGGCACGGGACATAACCATCCAGAACACGGCGGGTCCGGAGAAGCACCAAGCGGTGGCCCTCCGCATGAACGCCGACCTCGTCGCCATGTACCGGTGCGCCATCAGCGGCTACCAAGACACCCTCTACGCCCACAGCTTCCGCCAGTTCTACCGTGAGTGCGACATCTCCGGCACCGTCGACTTCATCTTTGGCAACGCCGCCGCCGTCTTCCAAGCCTGCGACATCATCACCCGCCGCCCACTCCCTGGCCAGTTCACCGTCGTCACCGCCCAATCCCGCGACTCCCCCGACCAAGACACCGGGATTTCCATACACAACTGCTCAATCATACCTGCGGACGACATGATTGTTGATTTCCATCACAATTCCTCCGATACAGGTAGACATTACTAATTGCAAAGCAATAATTATTATTGAATATCAGTCCCATGCAATGCATAATTTGCATATATCAATTCTTCAAAAGACACAGGTACTAATTAATTAATTAAACTTATTCTCATGCTCGATCAGGTAAGGCCGTCAGAAGCTATTTGGGGCGGCCGTGGAGGGCATACTCGAGGACCGTAGTGATGGAATCCTGGATAGATGGTTTTGTGGATCCAGCGGGCTGGACTCAGTGGTCGGCTGCGGAAGACGATCGGAAGGCATCGGAGACGTTGTACTACGCAGAATTCGACAACTACGGGCCCGGGTCCGGTACGGATAGCCGAGTTGCGTGGCCCGGTTTCCACGTCATGGATTATGACGAGGCCTACAATTTCACTGTTTCTTATTTTATTACTGGAGATGAGTGGTTGGGCTCTACTTCCTTCCCCTATGAAGACGGGATTTGAAATGGACGGAAAACCTAACTACCTACTCGATTGCCCTTCCTTTTAGTTTTTACAGCGCCAAAGTGTAATCAAGGTTTTTTAGATATTCAACATTTTCTCGTTAATTGAAATCTCTAAAAGTCTAATTTACTAATTAAGCTTAAAGCGAAATCCGGCCAATTAATTCTACTCTAACTAAGATTTTCACACATATTCTAAATTATTTTTCTTTACATATGTAAAAATTAAGTTTCCTTTGAAACTACGACATTGCTTTGTTAAAAAAATTATAATAGTATCCTTATCCTTTTTATAAGAACCGAACCGGACCAAAGGTCGGGCCAGTGAAACCGTTTAACCATTTATGATAGTGGTCCGGTTCATTGTTTGGGCGGTTATTGATGGACCGAACGATTTTTCACGGTTCAACATAAAGTCAGATGAACCACCACGGTGTAACTGGTCCATTGGTTCACTATTTTAACAAAAAAAAAAAACACTTTAAGATAAATTAATGAACCATCAAACCATAATTATTAATTTTATATATGCTTCATCTTCTCATTCCAACCTTGTTGTCGACTTTACGTTATCCACTACCGACTGGCAGCACGATATTTACTTTCAATATGATATCTTTTGTGAGATGGTTTGACAGATTTATTAGATATTTTTGGTGATGATATGAATTTAAAATTGCTTATGGTCAATGATAACTTCATTCTTAAATTAGTATAATATACAAGTTTTATATGTTATATATCATGAACGGTACTATTAATGGTTCACCAAAGGTTTTGTAACGGTTAACTACTGAACCATAAACCACTAACTTTTCCGGTTTTGAAAACATAGATCCTTATCCTTTTTTATATTTTTCCAGACACCACATGTAAGGAAGTGGTTAAGTACCATACATGGGCCTATATAAGATCCAGCATAACCTTCTCCCAACAACTCGAGTTATTGGGACCAACTGGTTTATGTCATGTAAGGAAGTGGTTAAGTACCATACATGGGCCTGTATAAGATCCAGCATAACCTTCTCCCAACAACTCGAGTTATTGGAACCAACTGGTTTATGACACCACATATATATATTCATTTATATTGTTTGTTGTTAAAAAAATTTGAATCTTATTTTACGGTAAAATAAATACAACAAGGTCCATTTTAACTATTTTTTAATTATATGTATATTTTATATTTAAAATCTTTCGACTAATTGAGAAAGAAGTAAATCTAGAAGCAACTCAACAAGGGTTTGGAAAGAAGAGCGAACGCCATAATGGAGATTCTCATCTTGCCTTTTCCATCTCACATAACTGTATATACATACAAGTTACAGTGAACTAAACATTGGATAATATAATTAACTGCTAACTAACTGAATTGACAAATAGAAGTTGTTCACGTGTACAGTAGGATAATTAATCTATTTGCACTTTATGTAGCTAAGCGGGTTCCTCTCTTATTTTTTTCTACAATATTATCTTGTTTCAAGTCGGAATCGGGTTAAAGGATGCACGATTCAAACTCTGATCTTTGCTATCTTTCTAGTTCTTCATGTCAACAAAACCATCCAAGCTGTGAGGCGCATGGAGGATATGAATGACGGAGATGGAGGGGCGGATAGCTCGAGAACGGAGAGCTCCAATCAGGAGGAGAATGAGCGTCAATCAATTCAACACTACAACAAATTTGGCCTATTATGACGAGACAATTTTGTCATACTAGATACTCATTTTGTCATATTAGGAATAATCTGACAAAAGGTGTTATCACAAACGTTTGTCATTTTATCGCCGTCAGGATAGGTCAAATGTGACAAAAGTTTAAAACAAAGTTGTCACATTTGTTTTCACTATAGTTGCGGTTCTGGGTAGTATATTGTGACGTCATATTTTTTCATTACGGTTGTCATAATCTGGTGATTTTGGGAGAATTGTTCATCATATTACACGATTATATTTTGTCACAACTGTATATTGTGACTACTAAATTTTGTCACAAGTGTTTATTGTGACAACATTATTTTGTCATAACTGAATATTATGACGAATATAGTTTTTCATAAAAGCATATTATGACGAGTATAGGTTGTCAAGAAAAGTGGTTTTTTGTCTCATGTCTAATATGACAAGAGAACAATTTGTCAGGCAATGTACATAATGTGACGACATGACATTGTTGTCACATTTGAACTGCTTCAAAAATTTTTAATTCGAAATTATTTCCAGCATTACAACCATTTCTATAGCAGTCATAACTGAACCCTGATAGATAGAGAATCAACACACTATACTCATCATGTCTCTACAAGGAATGACACACATTTGCTTGCAGTTACTCATCGAGCAAGGACCAATTCATGAATGCATAACATTCCAATCTCTTGATATCTTCAAACCTGGTTGCTACTATTCTGTTAGCCCGTAGAGAACTAGCTGAATTTGCACACAACTCCCACTTCCAACCCATTTCCTTTAGACCTCCTTTCAATGTGCTCCCAATCCTAAGATTCAACATCAAGATTACCATAGGAAGGAAAGGATTATCCTGTACGAAGCTTCGTTATCAAAATGATAGTTCAATAAGAAATTATAGTTCATCAATGAAAGTAGAAACATAGACTTGCAACAATCAATGTCAAAACAATCTTTTAAATTGTAAACAAAATAGCTTCTCCTCCAGTCGTTCATGTATAGCATGAGACAGAGTTTGCTTTTCAGCTGGTGCTAATTCCTCCTCTAATCATTATCAAGACCGCAATTAGCTTTTGAAAAATAATCACATATAAACAGCCATATTTCTACTTCTTTAATCTTATGACTCAAAGAAAACTGAACCAAAGCCCCTTCCATCTCCTCCACAAACACCCTAGCCAGCTTCCAACCGACCACTATCGGCCGCTTTTATTTGTGAATAAGTGTGTTTTATTCATCAAGAAAGGGTAGCTTTTATCAAACTACCCTAACTAGAACCACTCAAACCACATTCACATAGTTTTACAGTGTACAAACCATCTAAGAGATCAAAACTCAAATCAACCTATCTTTCCAGTTCAACTACACAAACTATCTATGTCACTATCAGTGATTACTGGTGTCAGTTTGCCTGAAGACAAGTTCTTGCAGAAGAATCAGAACCTATTGAAGTTGACCTGAAGAATTAATGGAATTAGATTGAGTTGATGACCTGAAATTTAGGGGGAACGAGGAGGCAGGGAGATCGGAGTTGTGAGGGCTGTGGCGAGACTAGAACTCTGTGCCTGGAGCTCAGGATGTTGAGTCAACAAGCTTGATTTAGCAAATTGAATATCATAGGATATTTTGTTTTGAATATATGCTATTATGTGAAACTAACAATCTATGCAGAAATATCACAATCAATGATGAGAATAAAGGAAACAATTCAAAGTAATTGCTTGCCTTCAAAGGAGTTACCATTTCAAGCAAAAAGGGTATCAAATCAAGGAGATACTTGCCACATAAAGGACTACAAATGAAAGGAAATGAAGGCTCACATCAACTATAAATAGTAGACTCATTTGTAGGCCAAGGCACCTTTTTGCAAAGCTCTCTTCTCCCTTGTAATAGCGAAATTGTGTGATCATATTTCGTGGTGTGAATAGCTTGATATCTCGGGGATTGAGATATTCAAGCTAGGTCGGGTTTTAGGGTAGGAAGGGTATTTGTAATTGGGACTAGTGCAAGAGCAAGAGGGGATTCTTGCTTGGGAGTTGCACTAGGTGGATTACTCTCCAATCAAGTCAAACTAAGAGTGTTGGCTTGATTGATTGAGTGGGTAGCTTAGCTTGGATTTAGCTAAGGGTTGAATAGGTGTGGAGTTGCACCTATTTGGTTCTTGACACGAAGTGTCAAGGTTTTTTCAATTTCATAGGTTAGAGAGTGTTTTATTTTAATAAAAGTTAGAGACTCTCGTGAGATAGTGGTAACGATCTCCGGGACGTGGATGTAAAGCCATATTGGCCGAACCACGTTAAAATCGCGTGTCCCGACTCATCTCTCTCTCTATACCTTCTCTAACTTTGTTCTATCCATCAGTGCCAACAAATTAATCACTTCAGGAGAGATTCTTGGCAAGTCCTTTTGGATTGCTCAATCAAGCTAGTGCTAATCTCTCACTATTGAAATCTGAATTAATTTGTGCATTGACCACGTCAAAAGTATTCATTATTGACCTCGCTTGGTATAACAAGTGGTATCAGAGCCCGGCTCCCTCAAAAAGGATCGAAAGATCTGCGAGGAAACTGAGATCCGATATACCAAGCATGGCTAGTGGGTCATCTACAAATCATGGTTCTAATTCTACTCATATGGAGGGTCTTTCATATGTTAGACCACCATGGTTTGATGGATATAGTTATTCCTTTTGGAAAACACGTATGATTGTTTTCTTTAAAGGGATGGGTTTTGACGTTTGGAATGTAGTTGAGAATGGTGTGGGTGATATCAAAGATGATCCCAACACATGGTCTAGCGATGATCTAAAAACGATGGAGTTAGATGCTAAAGCAACAAATGTCTTATATTGTGCAATATGTCCAGATGAATTCAACAAGGTGAACAGGTGCAAGACGACACATCAGATCTGGAAAACCTTGGAGGTATCACATGAAGGGACAACTGAGGTAAAAGAGTCCAGGATATATCAATTGGTGCATGAATATCAAATGTTCAAAATGCACCCAGGTGAGTCTATTTCTGATATGTATGTTCGGTTTAACTTAATAGTAAGTAGACTTAGTGCATTAGGAAAAATTTATAATAATGCTGAACTGGTCAGGAAAATTCTTTGGTGTCTACCCAAAGAATGGATGCCTAAGAAAACTGCCATAGAAGAGGCTAAAAATCTATCTACTCTTAGTATTGAAAATTTGATAGGATCTCTAATTAGTCATGAAATTGCCTTAAAAGCTCAAGGTGATGAGAATAATGACAAGAAAAATAAAAGTTTAGCATTCAAGGCTTGTGAGAAGAAAGTCACAAATGATGAAGGACCAGGAGATGATTTCGATCAAGAATTTGCTCTCATTTCAAAAAATTTCAAAAAGTTTTTAAAATTAGAAAGAAAACAAGGAAGGGGTAG